TTCAGAATTGCATTTAAATACATGGATGGCGATATACTAAAGAAATTGTTCATGACTTTTGTTAGGCCAAAGCTAGAATATGCAGTTGTTGTGTGGTGCCCATATCTTAAGAAGCACATCAACAAACTGGAAAAGGTGCAAAGACATGCTACGAAGTGGCTCCCAGAACTGAAGGGCAAGAGCTACGAGGAGAGGTTGGAAGCATTGAACATGCCAAAACTAGAAGACAGAAGAAAAAGAGGTGATATGATCACTACATACAAAATAGTAACAGGAATTGATAAAATCGACAGGGAGGATTTCCTGAGACCTGGCACTTCAAGAACAAGAGGTCATAGATTTAAACTAGCTAAACACAGATGCCGAAGAAATATAAGAAAATTCACCTTCGCAAATAGAGTGGTAGACGGTTGGAACAAGTTAAGTGAGAAGGTGGTGGAGGCCAAGACCGTCAGTAGTTTCAAAGCGTTATATGACAAAGAGTGCTGGGAAGACGGGACACCACGAGCGTAGCTCTCATCCTGTAACTACACTTAGGTAATTACACTTACACACACACACACACTAGAAAGCAATTTTTTCAGTGTCAGTGTCAGAGTAGTTAATAAATGGAATGCACTAGGAAGTGATGTGGTGGAGGCTGACTCCATACACAGTTTCAAATGTAGATATGATAGAGCCCAGTAGGCTCAGGAATCTGTACACCAGTTGATTGACAGTTGAGAGGCAGGACCAAAGAGACAAAGCTCAACCCCCGCAAGCACAATTAGTTGAGTACACAGAGGCACAGGAAATTTGAGAAAGGTATAGCAGACAAATGTAAATCAGATCCAGGCCTTTTCTATAAATTCATTAAAAGCAAGCTGCAGGTAAAGGATAATATTCAGAGGTTGAAAATGGGAGACAAATACATGGAAAATTAAAAGGAAATGTGTGAAACATTGAACGAAAAGTTCCAAATTGTGTTTGTACAAAATGAGATCTTCAGAGAACCAGACAATAAGAATTCCAAAGAACATAAAGCATATAGAGGTGTCTAGAGACGAAGTGAAACAAATGCTCTTTGAGCTAAGTAAGAACAAAGCAGTTGGCCCAGATGGAGCTAACTGCTCCACATTCACATTTGGCTGCACATTCTCTTTGAGAGAATGTGCAGCCGAGCTCAGCATACCACTTCAGACATCCCTGTGTACAGGAGTCGTAGCAGATGTGTGGAAAAAGGCTAACATAGTTCCAATCTACAAAAGTGGCAACAGGGAAGACCCCCTCAATTATAGACCCATATCATTGACAAGTGTAATAGTCAAAATATTGGAAAACTAATAAAAACTAAATGGGTAGAACACCTGGAGAGAAATTATATAATATCAGACAGACAGTATGGCTTTCGATCTGGAAGATCCTGTGTATCGAATTTACTCAGTTTCTATGAACGAGCCAGAGATCTTACAGGAAAGAGATGGTTGGGTTGACTGCATCTATCTGGACCTAAAAAAGGCTTTCGACAGAGTTCCACATAAGAGGTTGCTCTGGAAACTGGAAAATATTTGAGGGGTGACAGGCAACCTTCTAACTTGGATGAAAAATTTTCTGACTGATAGAAAAATGAGGGCAGCAATCAGAGGCAATGTATCAGACTGGAGAAATGTCACAAGTGGAGTACCACAGGGTTCAGTTCTTGCACCGGTGATGTTCATTGTCTACATAAATGATCTACCAGATGGAACACAGAATTATATGAACATGTTTGCTGATGATGCTAAGATAATAGGAAGGATAAGAAACTTAGATGATTGCCATGCCCTTCAAGAAGAAGTGGACAAAATAAGTATATGGAGCACCTCTTGGCAAATGGAATTCAATATGAATAAATGCCATGTTATGGAATGTGGAATAGGAGAACTAAGAACCCCACACAACCTATAAATTATGTGAGAAATAGAAGCCCTACCTGCCCCAGCCCCTACACTCCTCCACCACCCTAAGCCCTCCCTTCTCCCTCACCCCCCTATCCCCTCCCTCCACCCCCACCCCCCTAAGCCCTCCCTTCTTCCTCACCCCCCTATCCCCTCCCTCCTCCCCCACCCCCCTAAGCCCTCCCTTCTCCCTCACCCCCCTATCCCCTCCCTCCTCCCCCCACCCCCCAAGCCCTCCCTTCTCTCCCACCCCCAAGCCCTCCTTTCCCCCCCCCCCCAAGCCCTTCTTTCCCCCCCCCCCCAACCCCCCTCTTCTTCCCATCCCCCCAAGCCCTCACTTAGCCCCTACCCTCTCCAAACCAGATCCTCCCAGCCCCCCTCACTACCCAGGCCCCCCCCTTCCCCCTCCCCATTCCAGACCCTCCATGTTTACCTACTCCAGTGGAATCAACAGAAACTGTGGATGGACAGAAAAGAGTCAGCTTCAAGGTGATGTACACGAACATAGATGGGATTACAAGCAAGGCGAGTGAACTTAGGGAAAGAGCACAGGATGTAAACCCTGATGTAATTGTAATCACAGAAACAAAACTCTCAGGAATCATAACAAATGCGGTGTTCCCCCAAGATTACACTGTATTAAGGAAAGAGAGGGAGGGGTAGGGGAGGAGGCAGAGTGGCCTTACTCATGAGAAAGGAAGGGAGTTTCAAGGAGATGGTTATCCCAGATTGAGAAAGGTTTAGAGACTGCATAACAGGCACCATGACTGGTGCCTATTACTAGGGAGGACCTAGAGTAGTAGTAGCAGTGATATATAACCCTCCACGAAATGACAGAAGACCCAGGCAAGAGTATGACAGAAACAACATGGCAGTTAATAACGTAATTGAGAGGGCAGCCTCTGCTGCCTGTAGAAATCGATCCCATTTGCTCATCACGGAGGACTTTAATCACGGAAGGATAGACTGGGAGAACAAGGAACCGCACGGAGAAGAGGATACATGGAGAGCCAAACTAGTGGAGGTGGCAACAAGAAAATTTATAAGCCAACATGTCAGGGAACCCACTAGGATGAGGGGAAACGATGAACCAGCGAGACTCGACCTAGTCTTCACTCTGACTGACTCCGACATAAGGGAAATTGACTTCGAGGTCCCAGTAGGAATGAGCGATCACAGTGTACTGACATTTGAGTATCTGGTTGAAGAAGAGCTAAAGTACTTGAGAAAGGGAACTGAAAGCAAAAGGCTAGCATTTCGTAAAGGAAATTACGAGGAGATAAGAAAATTCCTAACGGATATAAAATGGGAATCAGAGCTAAGGGAAAAGACAGCCCAAAACATGATGGAATACATCACACAGAAGTGCAAAAAGGCAGCAGAAAAGTTTATCCTGGCCCAAAAGGTAAATGTAATGCAGATGATAAACCCATGGTTTAATCAGAGATGTAAGCTAGCTATATAGTAAAAGAGCATGGAGAAACTATAGAAATAACAGGATACATGAGAGCAGAGAAGGTTACCAAAGAGCCAAGAATGAATACGTCACGGTGAGAAGAAAGGCAGAAGGGCAATATGAAAACGACATAGCAAGCAAGGCTAAGACCCAACCCAAATTGCTGTACAGACTAACACCTGAAATTCCGTCTGCACCCCCTAGTCCTTCATCTTCTGTTGTTCATCCTGGTCCTTCGCCCTTGCTTCTGGCTTCGAATCGTCTGAGGACTTCGAAGTCGGGGTAGGGTTTAGTTACCTTTGAGACTCAGGCAGTTTCGGGGGATTCCCCTTCTGGGGTGGTGGTGGAGGCATTTGAGCCAGGTCCTCCAGCCGGAGCTTCTAAGTCTGACCAGTCGGCCACCTTCGTTCCTGCTTTTTCGGCTCCTGCCGTTTTTTTGAGACTGGGGGTCTCGAGGATGGCTCAGCCCTGGGTCCTTGTGGTGGGATTCCCAGGGTGGGGAAGGGGTTGACTTGGGGGCCTTGGGCCCCATTAGACCCCACTTGGGTTTTTGTACCTTCTGAGCGGGGCTTGGTGTTAGAAGGCACGGGGTTCTCTTTTTCCCGTCCTCATACAAGATGGATTTGGTGTCTACCCCTCCCTGGGTTCGGTTCCGTGATCCCATGGGTTCTTCGGTCCTGTCTTTCCGGAGGTTTTTGGCCTCTCGCATGCCGTCACATGTGGTGTGGGAGGCCTTTGTGGCTTACCTCCTGCGTGACCCGGATTATGCTGTCATAATGGATTCATCTTCTTTCATGTATGGAACTTCTTGTCCCTACTGGGTTTGTTATGAGGTTCTGGAGTCATCTTGCCTTGGTCGTTGAGGACTTAAGTGGTGCCTGTGACCTGTTGGCTTCGGTCTTGCGTTTCTTTTCCCTTCTCGCCCTGTCCTCGGACTGGCCGGGTAAGTCGCTCTTGTTTTTGTCTTTGGGTACATAGCTCCAGGGAACCAACAGGACTGCCCCCGGAAAACCAGCATGAATGTAATGAAATGCCATTTTCTGGGTGAGACCCTGAGGCTCCCCGGCAACCCTCCCTCTCTCCAGTCGGTGTTTTTTCTTTTCGTGGTTTTGACATCCAATCTCAGAACTGCGACGTGGATAGCTGGTGTGAGAGTCTGGGGCTCCCTCTTCCACCTCTTGGGGATGGGGGGGGGGGGTTTGTTCAGACAGCAGCATGGTGACGTCATGCTCGTTTGCTTGTTTTCATTTGGGGGTATTATGTCCACTAGTTTGACTTTTAGTAGCAATATTTTCACCAGAATAGGGGTTTGTTTTGGAACGCCTACCTTTCTGGGTGCCTGACCGTGTCGATGGCATACACAGAATGCTTCCAACTGCACGGGGTTTCTATAAATCATTGCTCCTCGTGCCTCTCTGAGGGGGGGCCAGGTTCTGGCTCGTGGTCCCCAGTAGGCCTAGAACTCCATGCACTTAACTGATGTCAGGGTCTAATACATTCATATCAGCCAGGATACCTCCGGGGAGCCTCCGGGTCTCACCCAGAAAATAGCTTTTCATTACATTCAACACTTTTTTGTAAATCATGGTTAAATAGTTTACAACTGTGTAATTTGTTTATATTTTCAGAGGCAGGTTCCTTGGAAAACATTGAGATGAGTGTACTTGCACATGAAGAGACTGCACATACATCTTGTGAGAGTGAATTAAATAAGGATATCTCAAAATACTGTAAATCCAAGGAAGCAGTTCACATTACAAGAGTAAAACCAGTGGTCTTTACAAGCAATGACAAATTGTCACCATCCAGTAGCTGTAATAATGAAGGCAGTAATAAAATTGTTACTCTCAAGCATGTTATGAAGATGGAAAGTGAAGCTGAAGAAAGTAGAGCAGAAGAACTAGAATATAAATTACTTAAAAATGAATCTGTGGAAGAACAAAAGAAAGAGGATTTTTGTACAAGCATTAACAGATGGAGAAAAAAGCTGGCATGCTCTAACGATTTAGTCGAGGTGAGATTTTGTTTTTTTAAGGTAAATTGCTCCTATTAAATTGATATATGTGTGGTGGTGCAATGCTGTTTGAACTCACCGGACATAATGGTTCATTAGGGCGCATAAAAATGTAGATAATTATGTAAAATGTGCATAAATAGTGTAACAACAACAAAAATAGTAGGCTTTATTGTTCATAGAATATACAAGTCATATTTAACTGATATTAGTGACACAAATATATGAGTGTACTGTTATGAACTCCAGGTAGCCTAGGGAGGTGAGTCTACCTTGAGTCTAATTCTAATTAGAGTCTAATTCCCATGGGAATTCAGCATCGCGGGATGCAGCATGGCTTTTAGAGCATTCATTGCCGGCGGATGCTGCACGGCTTGTTGATGGGAATTTATCATCACCAGGTGCAGCATGGAATGTAGGGCATTCATTACTGGCAGATGCTACACGACTTGTTGATGGGAATTCGGCATCGGTGGGTGCAGCATGGCTTCTAAAGCATTTATTGCTGGCGGATGCTGCACGACTTGTTGATGGGAATTCAGCATCGGCAGGGTGCAGCATGGCTTGTAGAGCATTCGTTGCCAGCGGATGCTGCACGACTTGTTGAATTCCCAGCGTCGTAGGGAATTTCCAGCGTAGTAGGGAGCTTGCTACAAAGTAGCACACGGTAGTGCTCACATATTTTATTAGCATTTCCTTCTGTTTTCTGGGGGGAGCCCTTTTGGCTCCCTGACGCTATCCAGGCTGATTTGTATATCATTAGACTCAGTCACTGTGAATGGAGTTCATAGGCCTACCCGGGACCATGAGCCAGAACCTGGCCCCCTCAAAGAGGCATGAGGAGCAATGGCCTATAGAAATTCACATGGGATTTGGAGCATTCATTGTCTGCCATCGACCAGGCCAGGCACCTAGAAAGGTAAGCACTTCAGAACAAAACCCTATTCTGGTTAAAACGACTCAAATAAACAAACGAGTGGACAGAATTCCTCAAATGAAAACGAGCAAACGAGCAAGACGTCACACGAGCCGCGCCGCATGTTTGCGCAGCTTTCCCTCTCCTTGGGAAGGGGAATGGGGGATCCCCAGACCCCTGCGCCGGCGAAGGGCAGTTCTTCGGCTGATGTGATTGTGGCATGGTCGTGTGGCTCCAGCTCCAGATTATCTCTGTGTTCTGCTGTGCTTTTTGTATAGTACTGCTCTTACTGTGGTGTGCGAGCTGGGAGTATTATTCTCAGGTACTCGGGCTGCATATTCTTAGGGTTCCCTTACTGTAACTGCCCTTGGGGCTTGGGGTTATCTTCCGCAAGTCACCTTGGGGTCTACCTCTGTTGGTCTTTTGCTGCTCGTTGATTGACTGCCCCAAGTGTGTTGGGGTTTCCTCCCTTGTTTACCCTGGGATAAGTGGTAATTTTTGCACTGGTAGGGGCACGAGGTACTGCGCATGGGATTTAATGGATGCAACCCTCTGGATCCCCTCTCACCTTGTGCGAGTTTGAGGGCTGCTCTGTTTCCTTGTCTTAGGGCGGCGCTCATTGTTTTTGCCTCCATTATGCTGCCTGTTGGATTAGTGACACCTTCAACCTGGAGTCCTGCAAGCATTGTTGCTTGTTTGTGACTCAATTCACCCAATAAATTGATGGCATTATTTGGGTGCAGGCGGCTCGGGCATTGCATGCTAGGTATAGGTTGCTGCAACGTGCTAGGTCGGTTGCTTTCCCGGATGCCCCGAGGCTGCCCCGCTTTGCTTATAGGGACCCGAACTTGAGAGTGTTGGTTGCTTCAGCCTTGGTTCAGTCCACACCCCCTCGTTCTTCCCCTGCTGTGATTCATTCTGTCCCTCTCCCCCCTGCTTCTGGCTCCTAAGTGTCTGAGGGCTTCGGGGTTATCTTGAGGTTATCTTGAGATGATTTCGGGGCTTTAGCATCTCCGCGGCCCTGTCCTCGACCAGGCCTCCACCCCCTGGAAGCAGCCCGTAGCAGCTGTCTAACTCCCAGGTACCTATTTACTGCTAGGTAACAGGGGCATCAGGGTGAAAGAAACATTTTGCCCATTTGTCTCCGCTTCCACCGGAGATCGAACCCAGAACCTCAGGACTACGAATTCAAAGCGCTGTCTACCCAGCTGTCAGGCGCCCAGCTGGGTCGGGGCGGGTTTTTGAGGTTTCTGAAACTCGGGCAGTTTCGGGGGTTTCCCCTTCCGGAGTGGCGACGGATGCATTTGAGTCGATTCCTCCAGCTGTGGCTCCGGGGTCTGACCCGTGGGTCCCTCTTTCTTCCTGCTTTTCCGGCCACCTCGGCTTTTTCTTGTGAGGCTGGGGCTTTGGAGAATGACTCGTCCCCGGGGCCTGATGTGCAGGTTCCCTGGGTTGGGGAAGAGCTGACTTGGGGTTCTTGGGCACTGTTGAACCCTGCCTAGGTTTTCCAACCCTCAGAGCGGGACTTACTGTTACTAGGAGTGGGGTTTTTCCTTTCCCCCCCTCCCCCCTCTGCGTACGAGTTAGTTTGGGCGTTGGCCCCTCCCCGGTTCGGTTCCGTGTCCATTCAGGTCCGTCGATTCCATCCTTCCTGTGGGTAATTGTAACTACTTTCTCACCATTCTTATGTAGGACATGTATTTTTCTACATTATGTTGCAATCATGTTCAATTCGTATCGGGATCCTGCATGACCATTGGTCATGGATGCCAATGGGCCAATATGGGCCTACATGATTTTGTGCTTGAATATCAAGGATCTTGAAGGTTCGAGAAGATCTTCGATACATCAAAAATTTATGGGAACGTCTGTCGACTTCCATTGAAGCTTACCTCTGGTCCTTTATAGGACTCATTGGTCGTCTTCTATACTACTAATCATTTTTCAATATAGAAAATATTATATATTTAATGTGTGCTGTTAGAATTTAGTGGTAAATATGCATGATTAGGCTGAACTCTGATAACCAGTTATAAGATTAACACTATCGCCCGCTCGGAACACTGCTCGCGTCCACTTTTTTTCTCTTTGAGTCCTACTGAGGACAGGACTCGCTTCCAATACAAAAATATTTGTATAAAATTCATTTTCTATGGGGAGCCCCTACGGCTTCCTGGAGCTTATTAGGCTAATGTATGTTATATTAGACCAGGACATTAGTTAAGGAGTTCAGACCTACCAGGGACCAGCGCCAGAACCTAGCCCCTTCAGAGAGGTTTTAGGGGGGCAATGGCCCTTTGAAACCCCCTTGTGGTTGGGGTTTTCCTTATCTACCATCGACCGGGGTTAGGCACCCAGAAAGGTAGGCATAACAAAACAAAAATAAGTAAAAAACATAGAAAAAAATAGTAAAAAACTAAAACAAAAAACCGAGCAGAGAGGTAGAAACTCCTTACAATCCCATGGAGACAAGCAAACAAGCAAACATCACACTTTACTGCCACGCCGATCGTCCGCGCAGCCCTCTCTGCCCCAAGAGGGGGAGGGGGGAGCCCCGGACTTCACTGCGCCGGCTGCCTAGCATCAGTTCGTAAGCTAATGTCAACCGGGATAGACGCTTCTCTGGCCTCTGTTTCCTAGGCGGTGTTTGCCTTGTGTTGTGCAGTGGCCAGGTGTTCCTCATCACTACCAGAGCTGAATGTGGTTAGGGGCTTCCTTCCCTAAGCGCCCTGTGAGTACTGCCCCTGCGTGACAGGGTTATTTTCCCTGGGGCATTCGGGAACCATTCCCGTAGAGGTTGTTGCTACTCGGCATTTGCCTCGCCCTTGGGGCCAGCTGGGGCTTGGGGCCCTTGTTTGGCCCTAGGTAGGGACTGGTATTGTGCTGGTTAGGGCATCGACGTGTTGTGCGACCTGCCACCTAAGCGACGACCGGTTCCAGTTGCCTCTGGAGACGGTGTACCTTTGCGGGGTTTTTCTTTTGTTTTCATTTTCATTTGCCTGGTGTGGGTCTGTCTATTGTGGCTATAGTTCCACTGGTAGTGTTTGGTGGCCCTCTGCTAGGCCCCCGTGATTGTACACGTCGCAGGGGTTTTCAGTGTTGTTCTTTACCCCCTTGTTATTTTTGGGTTTCTTAACCGGTTAGCAACACCTGGCCCAGGCTTCCCGTAGTTGTTACCCTACGGGCCCTGGAAACTCCTGTCAGGGCTCGGTGGACCATCGAATGTGTCTTCCGGGTTCCAACTCGTCTTGTATGGGATCGTTGGTTGCTGTGCCCTTGTCTCCGGGTGACAGTCACCACTTTTACCTCCGTCATGTTGCCTGTTGGGTCACTGACATCTTGACCCGGAGTCTTGCAAGAAATATTCTCTGCTTGTTCTCTAGTACCCTCCTGATGTTATTACTGTTCAGAGTACAGGTGGCATCTGTGTTGCAAGCTAGGTTAGGTTGCTGCAACATGCTAGGTTGGTTTCCCACTCAGATGCCCCGGGGCCGCCCCGTTTTGATTAGGTGCTGTTCACCCCTTTCCCTCCCTGTTCCCAGCTCCGGACTGTCTGTGGGTTTCGGGGTTGGGGCGGGTTTAGTTGGGACCGAGACTCGGGCGGTTTCGGGGGCTGCCCCGTTCGGGTTGGGGATGGAGGTTTTCGAGCCTGTTCCTCCTACCAAGGCTTCTGGGTCTTACTAGTGGCCCTTTCTTGCATCCTTTCCCATGGACTCTAACTTTTCTTTAAGGGCGGAGGGCTTGGAGGACGGCTCTGCCCTGGGGCCTCTGTTACGGATTCCCAGGGCAGTGGGGAATGCCTGCTAGCAGTTCTGGGGCGGTTTGCCCCTGCCTGGATTTTCTGCTTCTCGCAGAGTTTTTTGCCCATCCAGTCTGCTTGCTTCCCACTTTTGCTGGTGTGTTTTTGTATCTTTTGCGTCGGTCACAGCCCTCTGTTCTGGTGGCCATTTTCTTCTGCCGATTTCCCGGCGTGGCCACCAGGGCGGCATTGCGGTTTGTTTACATGCGCCTGGGTGTGCGAGCGAGCGTCTTGGGTGAGTTTTGTCACCTTTTTCAGGGGTTTTATTCTCCTGTTGTTATTTCT